GTGTGTGTGTGTGTGTGTGTTGGTGGAGCTGTTTTCAGGTCTCTGCATGTGCTTGTCAGGGTTCAAGTCAGGGTTCTGACTGTCCCACTTTAGTTGTCAGCCCTGTATAGGGCGCCTAGTGTAAAATGAAATGTGTAAAAATTGCTATCTACAACATATATTTTATTGTTTAGCTCACTATTTTTATATATAGCTTTTTTTAAAATAAATATTAAATTTAAATGTTAAATCCTGAAACTAAATGTTTAAATCCAAATGTTGAAATTTACGTTAAGGCATTTTGGAATGGAACGCAGCCTTTGCTGTTGGTGCTCGGCTCATGTTATGACATCATCACCCTGAGACAATAGCAACTGCTGGCGCTCCACTGCAGCTAAAGCTTCCCTACAAGATATCAAACTTGCAGTTATGGCTGGTGTCTGAGCTGCACTTCAAACTGCTGGACCCCAGAGAAAGGAGTGTCTGCGGTCACTAAGTAGGAGTTTCTTATTTTGTGGGGGGAGTTGACYCAAGATGGGTTTGGTCAGATTGACGGTGGGGTTTGAAGAAGCTGGGGGCAGCGTGGAATAGTTTGGTTGAGTCGAGCAGGAAGCAACGTTTTTAAGATAAATTTTAGTCACAACTTGAGAAAGGAAGGTGATAGCTGTACGAAATTTTTAAACACTACATATGGAGGGACATGTAACAATTTRGCTTGGTCAAAACATCCCCAACAAGCCCATGAAACCATAGCTAAAAATCAATATATTAGTCATAATTTGAGACAGGAAGGAGCTTGCTAAATGAAATTTGAAGTCAATAAATTATGTTTACATGTTCATAATCATTTTATTTGATTCATTGTTCTGTTTTAAACTGTACATAGACAGTCAATAAATCATTTTTTACCATTACTTACTTTTAAAGAGTAACTTACCCCAAATTTAACTTTTTAGCTGATAAACTGTCTAGAATGTGTCTAAAATGTTATATAGTACTGTTTCTGTGCTAATTTTGATGTTTTTGTGTGTATTTGTTCAAATCTGTAATATTTTGGTCTAAAAACGTGTTTTTGCTGCTCATATGGGTAGAGCAGTGGTACTGCAGGCTAATTTGCATATTGGTTAACAGATCTCCACGGTGACGTGTCTTCTCCACGGTTTCGTCACAGCGGCTGTGTTCTGGTATAAAAGCCTCTCTCTAAGACACGCCCCTGCAGCAGTCAGAGGGTGGAACAGTTAGCAAGCTTAGCATGATCGTCTGTTGACCTTCAGCCTCGGGTGGGGAGAGATGACTGCTGTGCTGCTCTCCCCCCCCCCCCCACACACACACACCAGCAGTGCGTCCTGCACAGCGAGTTTTAAGGATTTTTTTGCGAAATTTATGGATTTTTAGGGCTCTTTATACAGGTAAACGTCCAAAGAGATTGACATGGAACTGGACCGAACTTCAGTCAAACAAGATCCAACACTTTTATTCCTGATTAGTGATCTTGTGAGCAGCTGCAGCTGTATGCTTTTATTTTTTCTGTCAGGCTGTCGGAGTGCTCCACCTCCTYTGTCCCATACTGTGGTCACTCGCCATGTAGCATCAATTATGCTAATGCTAGCTGCCTGTCACGTTCTCTCATCCTGGCCACACCTCCACTCTCTAAACTCCCCCTCCCCACCCACACCCCCTCCCCTACCCACTTTGATGCATTTTTCAAATTTTGCCTTGGTGCTGAGTTATCTTTTCACAGGGGGGTAAGATACACTTTAAGTTGCACCACAGGACACATCAATCCAACCAATCACGGTTAGGGAAAACTCCGCCCACACACCAACTAGGGAAGCTTTGGCCCAGTCCCAATGCTCAGTGCACACCCTACGTCCCTCTGTGAAGTGTGGATTCAGTCGAAGTGCACATAAGTGTTGGAGTGCGCAGGTTACAAGTGTGCAAAACAATTGAGAATTGGGACAGTACAGATTACGTCATCAAACACTGGTAGCTACTAGGGGTGCAACGATACAGAAAATTGACGATTCGGTTCGGTTTGATACTTTAGTCTTATGGTTCGATATTTTTTYGATACAAAAAAGAGAAATTTCCATGCCCCTTTTAACTTGTAATTTATTTAAATTAATTATGAACGTGTTTAACCTCAAAAGTAGAGTTTTTAAATTAAATGTTACTGAAACAGCAAGTTGATCTGTGCTCAAAAATGCAGCCTAGGTGGAGTAGTCGAACACAGATCCACTGATCCTTCAACACAGCATCTTCAGAAGACAAGTTGGTAAAATAAATTTTAAAATCTGTATTGTTCCATACATAGTGTGTATTGAACCTAAAGCACTGTTCAGTACGGTTTGATACAGGTACATGTATTGTTGCACCCCTAGTAGCTACTAGTCACAGTTAGGCCAAATTTCATATACATAAAMGTAAATGTTTAAAGAAAGAAGCAAATTTTATCTCCTTCATGATATTACTACTACATATATTCACACATATTTTTCCTCTCTTTTCATTTATAGTTCTTCATTCCCCCAGGCAGCATTGTTATTTTTCGTACCATATTCGAATGTTCAATAAAGGTTTATAAAAAAAAAAAAATGGTGGCTGTTTTGGCAGCAATGAATTGTGGGTAATATATTTCACCAAAGTCCGTAAAAATGCGGACTTCGCGGAAGGGTGGAAATAGTACCCAAAATGGGCGGGTCGAAGGGCGGATGTGGAGAATGTGGGACACACTACACACACAAACCCTTCAACATGAACGTACATTTGAAGTGCACAAGGGTGGAACGAGGGTGGGAGTGCGAGTATTGGGACAGGGCCTTTAGCTGCATTGGAGCGCTAGCAGTTGCTATTGTCTCAGGATGATGATGTCATAACAGGAGCCGAGCACCAACAGCAAAGGCTGCGTTCCATTCCAAAATACCCAAATGTGAACTTCACAAAGGTTTAACATTTACACTTGGATTTAAATGTTTAGATTTAGGATTTAATAATTAAATATATTTTTAACATTTAAATTTAACATTTAGTAAAAATTAGGAAATGCAAGAGCAGTGAGCTGAATAATCAAAAAATCTGTTAATATAAAATACGTGAAATCTTTTAACATTTTATTTTACACTTGTCGCCCCATAGTCCTGTGTGTCCCTGTGGAATGGTGTTTTAATTGAGGATCTGCTGTATTTTGCTCCTTTAAGCGTCCCTTCGTCCCTGACTGCCACCACCGTGCTTCACTGTGAGTTGGTGTTGGACCGGTGACGAGTGGTTCCTGGTTTCCTTCAGACGTAACATTTAGAACAAACAGATCGGTCTTGGTTCCATCAAAGGATCCAGTCTAGAACTTCTGACCTGCTGAGTTGATCAAATCTCCACAAAAGACACTTTTCTTGTTTACCTCTTGAGCTGATTGTTGTTTCAGAACATCCATCATCTGCTTCTCTTTATCACTCAGGTTTTGTTCATTTTGCCTGAAAGCCTTGAGGAAAAAAAAAGCTCTGCTTGTTTTTAAGTAATAAAACGTTAGAACACTCTTAACCTTGAGCGTCTTGTTTGAGTTGATTCATTTTATTTGAGCTGCAGTTCTCATCACATCTTCTGTACTGACTTAAACCCTCTGCAGTCTGTTAAAAAAACCTTCAGTGAAGAAATCTAAGCCTCCAACATTTGCTGCAATAAATCTTTGCCACTTGAATGAAATGGCTCTTATTGCAC